CTTGATAATACCGTCAGGCAATGCTCCACTTTGAGAGTCCCTTCCCCCTCACGTGACACCTCAGAACTGTCCAATCACAAGTCAGGATTTGGGCCCCCTGTGTCCTTTGAGTCAGTCACCAGCCAATAGGATGCAGGCTGGTGCTACAACACCATTACGTGGATGAAGGAGAGATAACAGCTATCGGTAAAGGTGATCAGTGAAGTCGATGGCGAGTTTTGGAAGTAGCTTGGTTTTTGTTTGGTTAAGGTTGTGGCATTGGTTTGGTTACAGTTTGGTTACAGTTCAGGAGTTTGGACTAAGCAAATGGTTGCTTTCAATGCCTTTGGTAGTCAGAGGATGAGCTGCATCTCTGAGAGCCACTCCACATTTTGGTATTGAGACTACACAAGAGGAGGAGTATCAAAAATGCAACAGCGTCAGGCTTTGATCTGCCTCTGTGGGACTGGGAGATGAGGTTTGCGACTGGTCACCACCAGCCAGGTGTGCGACTCAGTGACACCCCCACGGTGCCTGCAGATGATTGACAGCTCTGCGGGTCGGAGTTCAGCACAGGAATGACAGGGGTCAGGGGTCAGAGGGAGGGGTCACAGGGAGCTGGGACACATATTGGCACCTGAGAGGACCAACAGCAATATCTTTCTAGAGCTCCGCATTTCTTTTTTTTTTTTTTTTTTCTTAAAGCAAGAGAGGGGCTACATATTCTTACATTTTTTCCTCTTTCTCTTTTTCTTTTCAGAGGTTTTGGTCCTGTCTTTGAGAAAAAGTCCTTCTGAGGTATCAATACATAATGAAGTTACTTTTTAGTTTGTTTTCCATTTGTTTTTTTTTTCTTTCCTTAAAAATGCATAAATGCAGTACAGAGACAAAAAAGTATCAAAATAGACCTAGCTAAGATAAATATACAAACAGGTGTTACCTAAACCACTGATCTAACTTTTATTCTTTTAATTTTTTTTTTAGAGATAATACACTTAAAAAATCAGCGTCCCAGACGTTTTATGAAGAACTGAAAAAAAAAAAAGGAAACAAAACAAAACTAATAAACCGAGATACCTGCAGCACTTAATATGATAAATACATATACTTCAGCATTAGCAGTACAGTATAGGAATCAGAGCTGAAAGCTTTACAATAGCTAAACAGGTGCAAAAGAAACAAAAGAGAGGAGAAAATTAAAGGACAAAATGGGAAAGAATGCCCTGGAGAGATAAGTCAAGCATTAATATACAAGAATACATCATGTTATGCCAAGCTGGAGAAAGAACAGAAGTGTTACATGGCGACCTGTGAACAATCTACATCTTTATAAAACAGCTTTGTTTACAGGTGTACCTTAAAGCACAAGTCAGAGATCATCTATGTACTGTATGCAGCAGTTCCTCTTGGTTTGGATATTACTAGTAGTAGTGATGAGTTTCGTTAAGTGTGTGTTAGTCCTCTCAGCGTCTCTGCGAGTGTTTCAGCGAAGCGGGTGCTGCTGTGTTGTGGGTCTTTGGATATCTGGATGGTCAGAGCCTCTGTTGCACTAACTCATAGCCCTGCTTCTATGCTTCTGTTACACCCCTGTGTGTGTGTGTGTGTGTGTGTGTGTGTGTGTGTGTGTTTGTGTGTGAGTCTGTCTATCATTACAGCTCTCTGCACCACCACATAGCCATTAACGACCACGTTGGCTGAGATGGTGAATATGCACACGTATAGTCAGAGGCTGTTCTCATAGCTCAGTGCTCACCGGGTGCAGGATTTTGTTTTTTCACACAGCTGATAGAAAACTTTTCATACAGAGTGAGCACTTCACAACACACTTTGAGACGTAGAGAGTGCTTTAGATGTGGTTTAAGGAGAGGTAGTCATTTTTAATTCCATGGTAAGTGAAACGTCTCTGTTTTTGGGCTCGAGCAGATGTGTTAGGGAGTCCGGATCGCCGAATAGCTTTTTTTTTTTTCTTCTTTTTTTTTTCGTCAGTCATACAGTAAGTGTAACAACAATTTTGGCATTTGTTATTATCATCAAGGAAGAATGGAGAAAAAAAAATATTTAAGAGAACTCAGTCTCCCATTGGCTATGTGTTGAACCGTTTTGAAAAGGAGGTAGTGTTATTTTTGGTTTTTATCTCGTTTCAAGATGTCTGTCTGCCACTTTGTACTTTGTTAGAAATCAGTCTCTAATGTGACAGGAAACAGTCCTGTTTGAACACAAAGTCATCAGAAAGGTTCTTTCATTAAATAAGAAAAATCGTCTGAAGTGCAAGAGATAGTTTGACAAAAAAGTATGAAAATATGAACCCAAATTTTCAATTACATGATGTCCCTTGGTTGTTTTCCTCTTACATTGGTATATCATTATTTTTTTAGTTGTTCCCTCTTTATTGTATTTTTTTTTTTTTTTGGAATAACTCCTCCCTGTCCAAAGATGTGACTTTTGTAACCACATTACAGTACACTTCCTCTTCCTGCAAATACTCCGTACAGATCAAAGAGGGCATGTTTGTTCCCTAGGTTGGAAAAAGTCCAAATGTAACGACAGCACCAGAAAAAGTATCCTGTAAAGCGAAAAGTGTTCGAATGCCTCACGAGTGCCTCTTTTTATTAGGCCTGCTCATACAGCAGTAGGGCCGGTCCTAGCATTGTGTTTGGAACACAGTTTAGCCTGAGCGTGGGAGAGACAGGGTTTCACCTCTAAGTGCTTATTATTTTTTTCCTTTTCTCTTTCTTTTAGGTTTTCAGAGGAACTGTGCGAGGTTCGTTAATACTAGTTTTTTGGCCTCATACCTAATGTGAGTCATTCGTAACCGCTTATCATGTAAAAGCTTTGATGTTTTCCAGATTCTAGTTTGCTTTACACACTTTGGTTTTCGGAATGGTCAGCACTGTAAGTCATGTATAATTTCAACACAATAGTTATATGAATACAATATTAAGAATTCAAACTCCTGGTTTGTTGTCTTTTGGCCAATTCTTTAAGAAGACAAATAAAAGGGAAACTCAAAAAGGGCAAAATAAACTACAGGGTTTTTGGTTTTCTACATATTTCTTTGGTTACCTGTAACAAAAATAAAATGGGAATAAGCAGATAATAGATTAAAATAAATGTTAAATTTGGTATGGCACTGTAGAGAAAAGTAATGCTTTTTATGTTCACGGAAAACAATAAACAAAAAAAATAAAATCTCACGTGCTATTCCTTTAACACAAACTCACACAGTGAATTGCAGATAGCTTCTACACAGTAACTATTACAACCATAGAGCTTTGAATCGAAACTGAGCAGAGTTGCCACATTTGGTGTCCCACGGTAAGAATTCCCCCTCGTTTGTTTATCAATTTGGACACAGTTCCAGGCAGAACCTTTGTGGGATGAGGTATTCTCTGACTGCAGTAATAATATATATATTTTTAAAGCATTACTGATATTTCTCAACTAAATACACAACCAAAAAACAAGTGAATGAGAGAGAATTAAAAAAAAAAAAGATCAGCTGTTAAATAATCTGTCTGGATAATGGCAACTTTAAGTGCTATTTCCAAATTTCTTGCCTGCTACACTTGGGACAGAAAGGGAGAGGGGCAGGAGTGGGGGTCGGGTATCACAAGTCGGGACAATACTGCGCTTTCTTTTTTTTTTTTGTCTCTTTTTCTTATTTTTTTTCTGCCAATACTCATTTGGAATGGTGTGAACAGCCAGAGTAAATCAAACAATTTACAATACAAAAAACAAAAACAGCATCCTTAGAAAAGGTACGTCGAAACAGAACGCCACCGTGGAAATATTGATCCTCGAAAATAAACAATGATAATAACATCAAATAAAAAAAAGGAAATGACAAAAGCTACCACACGTTTTTTTCTTGTTATATTCCATAATCATGAACAGTTTTCTTTTTCTTTTTTTTTTTTAGTCACAATATTTCTGTAGACGCTTCCTCCCTCATTTCTCTCTGCTTCCCCTCTTCTCAAAGTGTTCCATGCTCGTCGCTCCGTCCGCAGACAGAGGAGAGGAGAAGGACAGCACCAAATGGTCCTATTCCTGCAGTCTTTTCTGGGTGGGGATGGGAAGGGATGGAGGTGGAGGTGGAGGGGGGGTAGGAAAATGTCTTTTTTTTTCTCACTTAGAAGCAAAGAGTTTAAAAGATGTCCGTCACTAAGTGTCTTGCTGGGGGAGGGGGGTGGGCAGAAGTTTGGACAGGGACCAGGACCACAGCCTCGCCGTGGGCTCGCACACACGGACGCGCAGACGGGAGCCTGCTCTGCAGAAGTGTTGGAGCACTGTTGGAGGTAAATCTTTGAAAGCGCTCTTCCTTCCTTCCCATCTTGAAGCCTGACAGTTTCATTTCAATCAAATCAAAGAAAATGAAAAAGCAAGTGATTGACTCAAAGGGGGGGGGGGGGGGGGTATACTGCACAGCCCCTGGTGACTGCTCCATATCTATATACACATGATCCTGTGTGTGTCTTTCTCTTTCACACACACACACCTGTGTGTCTTCTCAACTGACGTAGAGATAAAAAAAACGGCTAGCCAGGCAGCCCGAGACAACAGCAAGGAGGGCGTATGCAGAGTGGTTGGGCAAGGAGGAGAGTGTCCAAACCTCTAAGGGTCTCTACACAGAGGCTGATTTGACCAGGGAGGATGATGAGACATGGTCTGACAAAGTGAATGAGTGTGTGTGTGTGTGTGTGTGTGTGTTGTGTATGCATCGAGTGGTGTTACACCTCTGAGCCAAGTGTTGGAAAAGAAACACATGGAGGTAAAGCAGTGCTCCACAGTCTTGTTTTTGCGTCTGAAAGTTAACGGAGGTCATCGAACCCTGTTTGGAGTTTCTCAATGTTGTCCTTGGTTGCTTGCATTTTCTTAAAAACAACAACAAAAAAAAAACATTCTCTTTTTTCTCTCTTTTCTCTTTAAGTGTACTGTAGCTATCTTTTCCTCTTCACGCTGACGAGAGGGCTCAGGGATTAATCTCGCTATGTCTTGTCCCTCTGGTCCATCCGGGATCTGTCCTACTCCAGCTCCTCGGTGGGAAGATCCTCCTCCAGGTCGCGCTCGTCGCTCGGCAATGGCAGGCTGTGTGTGACGCCGGCCAGAAGGGATACTGACCGACTGTCCTCCTCCACCTCGGTGGGCTCCTCCTTCACATGCACCGGGTGGCTGAGGGGGAGGGCAAACAGCTGTTAGCAGAATTTTTACTGACAAAAATTTCTTATCTTATTCCTTATTTAGAGTGTTCATTTTGTCAACTATTGTTTTTGTATTAGTTTTGGTGCTGTGACAAATGTCCTTCTTAGGTTTTATCAATTTAAGTCAACCTCATGCAATTTATCTTTTAAAGTCAAGTTTGAGTTCACTAAAAGTCTGAACATTTTAGCCTCATCTTAATCAAATAAAACTTGCTTTTTTCGTTTAAACAATGAAAACTCTTGACATTTTAGTTTTTTTAGTCATCAGATTACATTGAACATTTCAGTCGATCCAGGCTGGCCAAAACTACTAATTTTGTTATTTTAGTCAAACTTATTTAACATTAGATTTTATCTTATCATTATCTGATGAAAAAAAATAAAGGTTGAATGATAAGAGTGCAGCTTTGCAGAAAGTGTCTGGTCTCGTGGTATCATTTAAGGAATATATTCACACACTGAACATATTCTGAGCCGACTGTGTCTTTAGGTTTGTGGTATTCATACCAGCTATTTTATGGCCACATTGGTTCCCCCCTAAAAAAGCAATGCACTATAACATTTTGTCACCTCTTTTTTGTTAATGAAGAGTAAAGAGGTTTTAGTTAAGTTTTTGTTTTTTAAACTGCATTTTAGTCTCGTTTCTTTCCTTCAGTAATGCATGTTAATATAGTCGCACTGTTTAATGACATCACTGCTGTCTCGTCATTGTCTCATCTTAGTCATGAAAAAAGGTTGTTGACAGTATTTAGTCACAATTTTCTTTAACAAAATAAACACTGATCTGCAGTGCTATCCGGTTAGTTTTGGTGTTATTTCTGGAAATCATGACACATTAGTACAATTGACACTTTTTACTATTCAAGTTTAAGGCAACCATGGTACAAAAAAAAAATACTGCAAACCGAACAATATGGTCTGTTATTCTTTCAGTAATAAAAGGTAATACAGTAGGAAACCAGTTTTACTTTTTTCTTTTGGCTGAATTGGTAGTTTGTTTTGGCATTTTCTTACTTAATTGACAGTACAGACAAAGAGTGACAGGAATTGAGGGAGAAAATAGAAGGGGGTGACAAGCAGCAACCCCACGTTGGAGTTAAATCCAGACTGCTGCGATAAGGATGCAGTCTTAGTAAATGGGCCCATGCTTTAACAGGTGAGCTATCAGAGTGCCCCAAATCAACAGTTAATCATCTAAAATGTAACTATTAGTTTATGAAAACTGGTCCCCAAATTTTATATCTGTACTTTGAATGGGAAAGCCTAAAAAAAAAAAAAAAAAAACCACTTGGATTATGTTAGAACTTACACACTTCAATGAAACCTGTATCGACGTTCTCATATTCTGAGTCAGCTGATTCAGGAGCAAGGAGAGACAGGTTTCCTTTGATGTTTTAGACTGTCCAGTTATGTTAAATTCTCTCACACTAAACTTAAAAAATGTTTCTTAATATATATCCATAATATTTATGTCAGTGATGGCATTACAGCTCCATTATATAGATGGTAGACAGCACATTAGCCCATATGGACACGAAAAAATGTAAAAAAAATTTAAGTGAATCAGTTTTGTGTTGTCTTCTTGCCGGCCTTCACATTTGTGTGTGTATTGTCCATGTGTACCTGTACTGTTGAGGGCTGAGCGTGGGGCTGCAGCTGCCGTTGCTATTGACCTGCTCCACAGTGGAGCTGACATCATCGTGGCCCACATGCAGCATGTTGAGGCTGGCCGCAGACGGAGGGCTTACCAGGGAAGGGCTGTTCAGCAGGGACAGACTGCTTTCTGCCAGAGCCGCCTACACACACACACACGTGTGCACACACACACACACACACACACACACAGTTGTCCAGTCACTTTAAATAGAAACTGGGTTACATTTTATGAAAACACAATTTATCTAATTAGAGGAAGTTAAGTAATAGCAAAAGGGGTGTATGATGTAATAACATGCTGTCTGGAAATGATCCTGTCCACCACGACCAGATATGTTGAACTGATAAGTGACATCTAACTCTACTTGACCTTAATTTATCTAAACTATAAAACACAGTATAGTAAACAGTCACAGCCACAATGAATGACAGATTCTTTATATACTGATGAGAGCTCCTCCATATGGAGCACATTTCAATCCACTAACTTGCTAGTGAACTTAACAAACCACTAGGGGGCACTTATATACAGTGCTTTCCCCCATCACGGCTTGTGCTTGTACATTTAAGTCCCTGTCACAAGTGTGTGTGTTCACGTTAAGGTCTCAACAGGAACATGGAGCGAGACTGAGCGGCAGCCTCAACATAAACGCAGATACAGTGAAACATCAAGAAAAAGCAGCTGAAGCAAACAGGGGCAGCTTCTGTCAACGCTCCCACCGCTCACATCCAGCTGTTTGCAGATGAGACAGGTCGGACACTAGCTGAGAGACTCACCCCACCTCCCCTCTTACACAGGAAATAAAAAAAGACAAAAGGAGGGGGAATCTCACTGGCTCAGAGATGGATTTTCTGGGACAGGCGATAATTTTATGCAGTAACCTTAATTGACAACTACTTGACGCTATAAATCATCTCAGTGGAAAAATTGCATGTGTGCGTGGGTTCGGGGTGTGTGTGTCTGCGTAGGAGTGAAGAGATGGGTCTAGTGTGTGTTTATGTGTGTGTGCACGTGCATGCAGAGGTGGGGGGGTGGGGGGGGGGGGGGGGGGGGGGGGGGGGGGAGGGGGGGGGGGGGGGGGGGGGGGGGGGGGGGGGGGGGGGGGGGGGGGGGGGGGGGGGGGGGGGGGGGGGGTGGCACATGTGTGAGAAAGTGAGGTGGGAGGTGAGAGTGTGTGTCGGTGTGGGAGGAGGAGGAGGGAGGTGGTGTGAACGTCGTTAGGGAATCTGCTAATTATAAGAGGGAATTGATATTAGTGCCCTTGATTGTGATTGGCTGCTCTGTGTGCATGTGAATGTGTGTGTGTGTGTGTGTGTGTGTGTGTGTGTGTGTGTGTGTGAGAGAGAGAGAGAACAACAGAGAAATGGGGGAAGCAGAGGGCATTCCTTACCTGGTAGCTGGCGTTTAGGGATCCAAAGCCCAGGCCTGAAATCATGTTTTTCACCAGAGTGGGACTTCTGCACACATACACATGCACACACACACACACACACACACACACACACACACACACACAGAAACAGAACAAGAGCGGGTGAGAATCACAGATTGAGCGCATATGTGAAAAGATGTCACTGCTGCCAAAGCACTCTGACAGATCTCACAAATATGTTTGTTACAAGTAGAAACACTCACAGACTGTAAACAGATGCTAAAACACACACATATGAAAGTGTCTAATATCTGGCGTGCAGGTGTGCATGTGTATGTGTGTGTGTGTGTGTGTGTGTATAATTATCCCTGGTTTCTCTAGCGGTTGGAGAGAACATCTGTTTACATACGCTAACAAGGTTTTTTTCCTCTCCTGCATCTCACACAGCTGCTTACTAATGGTGTCGACAAACAGGGAAAAACACACACACACATACAGTACAGTGTGTACACGATAAGCCAGAAGCCCTGTTTTTTTTCTTTTTTGTGTGATTGCTGAGTTGGCCTCTTGGCAATAATAGAGGGTCCATTTAGGCAATCATAGTGCCAGCACCCATAAGCTCACATTCACATCAACCTCAACTGTGCACCAAGAAAACACAAGTGTGTGATGCAGCATGTGTGTGTGATGCAGCATGTGTGTGTGATGCAGCATGTGTGTGTGTGTGTGTGTGTGTGTGTATGTGTGCAGTTACCCGGTCATCTTTGGTGGTCTCCTCTTTTGGTATTCAACTTCATCCACAGTCCACACAGCCCCTTTCACGTTCTCAACGCGAACAAAACACTTGTGCAGACTCAGGTTGTGGCGCACAGCATTCTGGGAAGAGAGACAGAGGAAAAAGGGAAGAGGTTTAACATGACTGAGGATAACAGGTCTGTAACATGAGGATTTTATTTTCAGTATTAACTGATATTTAATTTGTTTCTTTCTTGCATTTTATGTTGACTCCATAGATCTTTGCCTTAAAATTAGTTTCTTTTTCCATTTCTTTCACAACCTAAAAACCGCAATGCTCGGAATGTTAGGCCGGGCAGTACATTGATATTTTATGGTGATCGTAATTTGAGACTGGGGATGTTCCTCAAAACTTATTTCCCTACAACACTGTCGGAATATTGTGATATTACATTTTCTTCACGTCATGCAGCCCTCAAGGAATGCATGAAATAACTGTAAGTGCATTCTGACCTTTGTCCATAAAGTGACGTTTAGTTTACTCACTAATATTCTCTTATGTCTCTTCTTAATTTCAGATATTCCCTATCTTAAATAGTGTGAGCTACACAATACTCTAAGACTTCCATAATTTTCCAGCAGGAAACGTGTCCTTGAGCAGAAACTTGACACCAGCTAAAATTGTTATTTTTGTTCCTTCACTTGAAGTTCTCACTTGGCTGGAGGTAAGAACACTCACTCAGGGTGTGTTCAGTACAAACAATGCTTTCCAGCTCGGAGTTAAGTTACCTTTTAAGCAGTGTGACCTGAAGATCCTTATTTATACACACACACACACACACACACATACTGTATCTCCATGTACAGTGCTAATACAGGGGAGCAGTCCTCTAGTAGCGTTATTTTATCTCCGAATTTTTTCTAATCAGTCACCATCAGCACACACACACAGAAACACACACACTCACATCCACAGGCACTCAGACAGGCACGCAGGCGGGCACACCGCTATCTTCGTCTCACCCCCCCAGGGACAGGCCTTCCTTTTCATCTGCTATTTGTAGTTTGTTCATGCCCAATTTCATTACCAATTTTAATTCGTCTATAATTAAATCCTGCATATTCTCTCTGACACGTTGTTCTAAGCCGAGAGGGAGGGACAGGCCAGGCATGCATCACTCCTCGCCGTAATTACACACGCAGAGACACACACAGGCGCACGCACACACACACACATACAAACACACACACACACGTAATTACACAAGCCATAATCAGCGGAGGAACCCTTTCTCCCCCGCATCCCCTCAACCCCCGAGCCGTGATGCTAAGTTTTGTAAATGAGTCTGACCCCAATCTGCGCCCGCCACCCTGACAGTGCAAACACACACACACACACACACAGACACACACGCCAGACACTAGTGCTATTGCAGTGCTATTTGCATTCGTCTCCGTGATGAAAGCCTAATTCTCCCAGTTAAAACATTAGCAGTCATTTACAGTGGGTCACAGCACATGTGCCACTCATCTCCACTCCCTCCGGCTGGGTGGGAGTGGGAGGGGGGGGCAACTGGAGGCAGAAATTTGGGAAGAAAGAATGAATTGTGTACCAGAAAAAGAAAAGCAATAAAGCAGGTTGTCAGGTGTTAATATAAGTGTGAACATCTTCATACTGTAAATGTTTGAGCCTTGTGCTGCTGGCTGGCTGGGATAGGCTACTCCAATTATCATCCTAAATAGGAATATATGTGAGCAGGCAGTGAATAAACGGCATAAGCATTTTATTTGTGATGACTTTGCAGCCAAAATAGCGTTAAATGATGGTGGATGAAGTATACAGAAGTCGCAATACAGCACTGTAAAATACTATGCTGCACTGACAATTTATTCTAGTAAAAGTAGGTATTTATTATTAGAAAAATGTAAAGTAAAAGCACTCATGATGTAGAAAAAGGCCCCTGTACGTGTTACGCTATTATATATTGTTATATCAGATAATTATTAATGATTCATTACTGTGTAAGCATTATACTGTTGGAGATAGTAAAGGTGGAGCTAATTTTTACTTGTTCATAGACTGTTAGGGAGCTGAGAGTAAATCTGATTGCATTTTCTATTCTATTTCATTCTAATTTTCTTTATATGTGGGGACCAATTTCGCCCAAAAAGTGAGTTGCTTCTGAAAATCAAACTGTGAAAAACAAGTGGGACGCTGCTTTTCTGGTAAGTTAAACAGCAAATAAAACCTTCTTTTTATGGCCTCTGACCCATCATGCAGCACCTTGAAATAACACTCAACACTCATCTCTCCTCCTCTCTCAATCATCCCTTTCTTTTCCTCTCTCTTGTCCCGTCCTCATTCTCCGTCCCTTTCGTTTCCATGATCAATGACTTCCACTCCCTGACACCGCTGCTCTCCTCATGAAATATAACGGCTTATTAAAGGACATACATCTCTACGGCCCTATTTGACTCGCCGGGCTGCTATATAAATACATAAGGCCATGCCGAGCTATATTTAAAGGTCTGCGAGGCCAATGGCACAGGAAGCAGACACCAGACATTAATAGTTAAAATTCATAAAAGTCAGATGAGGAGGTAAAGATATTCCTGGCTGCCCCTGTCTCTTAACCCCCTCCCTTCCCTCCCTCTATCCCTCCATCATCATCCCATCCCATCCCTCCCTCCTTGGTTTAGGGCTATTAGAGGAAGGACGGGGTCTCTCCTCACCCCCTCCTCCCGCTGTCTTTGCTCATCCTCTCACTTTCCCTCTCTGGAGGAACTGACACTCAAATTAGTGCGAGGTTTCTGTAGAAATGGGTCAGCACCTACAATGGTGGGATCAGGCCAGGTGTGTGTGTGTGTGAGAGAGAGGGCGAAGAGAGAGAGAATTCAGTGTGTGTGATCATGAGCAGTGTGTGTGTGTCAGCTTTTTATGTGCATCTCTGTAATGAGGCAGTATAACGGCTAGATGTGGCTCTGCCGGGCTAAGTGGGGCCGGCTCTCCATGCGCCACGTTGGAGGTGAGAGAATTGTTTAGGGCTGAGATGGAGACAGAAGGAGAGAGAGGAAACAAGACAGTGAGGGAGGAGGAGAGAGTGAGAGCAGTGGGGAAGTGTCTCATAAAGGACAGAAAGAGCCAATAACTGTCAAATCGGTCATATCTTTAGGAGCTGAGCAAAGTCAGCTTTTAAACTTGTGTGCCAATGTGTATGTGTGTGTGTTATTGTACTTGTATAATTCTGAGTGTAAGTGCTAAATTTAGGCCTTCAAAGTGAATCCATTTTCGGCAAAGTGAGGTCATTTTGGCCAGCCTAAATGTTTCAAATAACACTGCAAAACCTGACTGCAAATTTTGTTTCTGTCGTTGTGGTCTCAGCTGGTTACTGCTTGGATTGGGGGCTTCATCAGTGGGCAGAAACCACTGTTACTTTGCAGTCAGTTTGATCAGCTTTTATCCATTAAGACTTGTATACAACATTCTAGTCTGAGTCAAAATATTGTGCTTTGATTGAACTGACTTTTAACCAGAGAGAGTTGAAAGTTTTATTTTCTAAATCTGGTGCCTCATCATCATCTAAACAATGAAAAGCCTGAAATGAAAAGTTTTAGTGCACCCCTGCACTCGGATGTGTCTCTAAATGCAGCTAGAGCCAAGTGAGTGACTGCTTATGCTGCTGAAGCACCAACGTACACTGTCATGCCATGTCTCTCCCCAAAAAATGGAAATCAGGGTTGCAAAAAGAAAAGAAAGAAAGAGACAAAATAAAGGGAAACATAGCAAACTGACTTGATGAAAATAAAAAACATGGCTCAAGATAAGAATAGCGGGGGGCCCATAGAGACTGCCAATGCATAGGGCCCAGAATTTGGTGCTACAAGTATGTCCCTGGTTAGATCTAGCCAATAGGATGTCCTGAGATGGATGAAGTACAGGGGAGAGAGTGTGTATTGTAAGCTTTTACCTTCCATGTGGCTGTGTTTCTCCTGAAATAGGCAAACTTTCGTGTAAACCAGTTGTAGATCTCATTGAGAGTCAACTGTCTGTCTGGGGACTCCAGAATGGCCTGAAGACGGGGAGAGGAGACAAAATGAGATTTAGAGGAGGACAACACAGACAGAGTGTGAAACAGTGAAACCTGACCATAGGAGAGACTTACATGACGTATAAGAGAGGCGTAGGTAAAGGGAGGCCTGACATCAGCGTTCTTGTAGAACTCACAGTTCTGAGCCAGCTCTGAAAAAAGGAAGCATAACCATTTTAAATTAGCTGATGCATGTGCTGTAACACAAGTCAAATACATTCTAAATTTAAATTTAAATTAATTCAAAAGCAGTCTCAATGGTATTTTAGATACATAGATCCATGTGAGAAAAAGGATGGAAAATTTTTACATCTGTCTAAAAATGAGTATCTTAGCCGTGTGTATCTAAACACTTGATACTATTCACTGTTCAAGAATTAAATGCACGTTAATGGGAAAATGTGTTGAGCACCGTTTTGTAAAGATGCTTCATCCTTACTAATATTCTCCTGTAGAAGCCAATCATATATTCCTTTCTTTACCTTCTCTTACGTGTGAATGTAAATGAATGTGACTTCATTCTAAGCCATATACTTAAATAGCATTGCTTGGATACCTGGAATTAAACTAAGGCCACAGTAATTTTCTCTTGCAAGAGGAGCCAAGAGATGCATCTTTCTTTGAGCCATGAATGAGAGTGATTTTCTGAATATTGCTCTTGCAGGGAAATTTGTGGGGAAAAAACATACAATCCAATATAAATCAATAATTAGATGAAGATTAATAATAACATAAAAAAGGCAGATACTCAGTAAGGTCTACCTGAGGCGATGGGGGTGCAGTACTTGTCGGAGTTGCGCCTACGTATGGGCCCAACACCGTGCGTGTGGGAGTGGGAGTGTGTGTGCAGGCTGGAGGAGCTGATGACTGAGGGTCCCTGGCGCAGTGGGGTGATGGGGGCGGCAGCTGAGGTGGGGGGGTGAGGAAGACCCTCTGGGTAGACCTCGCTGTCCCGCTTTAACAGAGAGCCACTGGAAGCCAGGTTCAGCTAGAGACAGACACACAGACACAGAGGGGAGTTACATATACAAACTGATACCAGACTGTAAAAGTGACAAGCTTAACTTGACAAATAAAAGCTGGTAAACTAACTTTAGCTGGGCGTATCCATTTTTAATATGTAAATCAAAAGTTTACTTTAAGGCTTCACCATCTGCTGAATTCTGCTGCTGTTTATAGAGAAGCATCATCTACACAAGCAAGGATCAGGATCAGGTGATATTCATGTATTTGACCACACTGGTTCCCAATCTTAGGGTCCCGACCCCAACTACAGGTCGTCAAAGCTTCAATGAAGTCGCAAGACCTTCTTGTTTTTAAAGGCTGTAAGAAACCTTTCAAAAATGTATACATTAGGCTTTTATGTCAGCATTTCATTAACTTCTGTGAAAAACACTACATAAAAATTGTCATTTTTGAAGTTTCAATCATTATTAAAATATAAAAATCTCACAGGATAAGGTCACAGTAAGGACCTGAACACAAGCTACAGTCAGTGAACCTTCACTCTTTGCTCAATAGCCTTGTCCTGCATTAGAAGGGTATGAAGCAAAGAACTGATAGAACAATGCGTCAAACGTCACTGAGATGAAAACATTGAATTTGTCAAAAAAGAAGCTTATTAACTGGTTGTTAGAAATTAATAAAAATACATAGTGCAGACAGATACCTGCATAAAAAGTTCCCTAAAATATCAGAACACCTACTACTACCTTCACTGTGAAATGATTTAACTTATAGCAGTACAGTAAGCTATATCCAGGAAGCACTCCTAATGTTAAGTCACATTACATAAAAAATAAAGCCTCTAACACTCACTGTGAATTTGTGTCCCCACAACTTTACCAACTGCATACTTGTGCAGAGCCACACACACTCACACACACTGAGCATGCACATATACTGTATTTATACACACAGTGCTGGCTGCAATTAACCCTGCGCTTACAAATACAAAACCACACGACAGCATGTTTGCAAGAAGGGAACACACACATGCACTCTGCGGTGGCGAAGTCTTCACGGACCAATACGGCCCAATTAGGCAGAGCCTCGCACACACACACACACACACACACACACACACAAACAGTACACAAAGAACCAGTACTCCCAGTCTCTCTGGGACAGCCGTTGCAGGGCTGCTAGTTTAGGACTAATTATAACCACTCTGTGTGTGTGTGTGTGTGTGTGTGTGTGTGTGTTGTCTATATGTATATAAATGTGTGACTCGCCTACTCTTTACTTGGCCCCCTCTCTGTACCATTTTAAGTAGACTGGAGGGGGCGGGGCTGTTTAACAGGTACTTCATTAACGCTGCAACCCTGCCACATCACCACGGCAACAGTCGAACCCTGTTAATTGAGGCCAAGCTTTGTTTCCATTCCTGACGCTCCTCCCCTGCCCCTCCTCCTCCAATCCCTGACCCCGAGGCTCGTCTCCGGTGGTGACAGAACACGCCTCTTCCTGATTTCCCATTAGATGTTAATAGCAGCTGATCCCCCAGTGATCAACGCATCATCCAGACACACAAACACACACACACACACACACACACACACACGTTGCCACTCGGCTGCACCCATTTATATCCCCTCAAATTAAGACACTCTACCTCTAATTGACAATTAATTTCAACATCTTCATATTTTAATAAGACTCCTCGTCAATCTGAATAATGAAATATTCATTAGATACCTAATAACAACCTCACCAACCAGTGTGGACACACACACACACACAGACACTTACACACACACACATCACATCAAATTTCTATCCCTTTTGTGGGCGCACACTGAAAATACTGTGAGAGAGCGCTTTGGCTGTTCTCCCGCTCTGACAAGCTGAGATATTTTTGAAATGCTGAATCGCATACAAAACTAAAGTTCAACCCAGACACAGTTTGAATGTGTGAATAGTTGGAATTTACGAGTTTCTCTGTGGAATGAGGACATTGTGAAACCGTAGTTTTCTGGGAAAGTGCATGGCATCATGAGAAGTTTAAGACAGAGGAAGAGGGAGAGAAGGAAACGAGGACAGAAAGGTGTGTGGAGAAGAACAAAACAGACAGAAAGTCTATGATTTCTAAACAACACATACACCCTCACTGGTCAATAGGGGGCGTAGATACCAAGCTAGACAGTAAGAGGGGAGCGTGGAATCCCAAGAAGGTTTAGGGATAAAAAAACTGTTCAATTAAGAGGAGTTTGTAGGTGAATAATAGGAGGTCAGAGGGCAGAAGAAAAGCTGATGTAATTTGGGTTTTGGGGTGCCAGTGTGTACTCACAGGTTGGTTAAAAGGCTTTGGCTCTGAAGGGCGCATGTGCAGGTGGGTCATCATGGCCTGGAGTCGCTCGCTTTCTTTCGCCAGCTGTGAAACAAACAAGGGTGGTTATCGCCATGAAAAACACTCTATCTCATTTCGTAACGCTTAGATTGATATAATGTGGTATTGACACAGAATTACAATTACAATTACACCTCAGGCGCAGAGATGAATATGAAAGTCAGCCGCCTCAGCACCCGGAGCTCTCTCACACACTTACACTAGCCTGCAGACACACTCGTCCCCGTTTGACATTGTTAACTGCTGTTTAATGGGTACTGCTACAGCCTGTGGAAACGCTGCATCCTGCGTGTGTGTTTGTGTATGACTACAAGCGTACACACGTGTAGCCTCCAGAAACAACGGATCGACACTAAGACTGATAGCACTATTAACATACTCACACACTGCAGAGATGCGCAAATATGAGACATTTAAACAGTGCAAGTGCTGCTGCTGTGTGTGTGTGTGTGTGTGTGTGTGTGTGTGTGTGTGTGCTGTCGGAGTGTAGAGTGGTGGGCTGCCTGTAGACTGCTGAGGGATGAAGTGACATGTCAGAGGGAGAGAGACAGCCGTCCTGATGTGATGTGACACCAGCTACCTCTCTGTCACTTTGTGTTCCCTGGTGGTGGCTTCAGGGGCTCAGCTAAACGCTGTTTACCACCACCACCACCACCACCACCACCACCACCAAACACAATGCTTACCCTAATGTCGGACAGCACACACACACATACGCAGTGATGTGAATAGTATTCTGAAGTGTTTTGGAAACTACGTCAAGACGTGTGTGAAGAGGCATCCTTTGTGTTTTCACTTTTCTTACGTACAGAACAGCGTTTTACTTGTTGGTATTTTGCTTTTGCCGAAGCATTCAGATGTTTCAAGAGCATTGCGTGCATGAAGCACTTTGAGAACAAGAGAGGCTGTGCAGCCTGGTCCTCGGCCTTTCTAGCTCATGCCTCTCTCCCTTTTCTCTTCTTTCTCTCTCTTCTCCCCTCTCAGCCTTGCTCTCTCTTGCTGGTGACCAGAGCAGCTTTATAATTGGAGCAGCGATGGCAGCTTCCCTGCCGACTGCTCCTTTTAAATTACAAGCTCCACTGCTCTCCATAAACTCTGCCCTGCCTCAGACAAGTTACTGCCATTGACTGGCTGAAACAGTCTCCGTGACTTTGTTTGTGAGCGGATGAAAATGAAGCGAGTGTGTGTGTGTGTGTGACTCACCTGTATCTCCAGTTGCTGAACCACCTGCATCTGGACTCGGCACTGAGCAGTGCTGCGGTCATCTAGGGCGTGCTCATTGTTCAAGTGCCTAGGGGTGAGGGGAAATGGGAGAGGATAAATGCACATCTACAAATTAAAAGAAAAAAAATTCAAAGAACTGATAGTCCCAATTTAATGATAATTTCAAAGTGAGGCTGAGTCAATAAAGTCCTTGTTAAATCTCTTCACAGGTCCTGAATAATGAAATTCCAGCTCTTTCACTTTTGTTTAAACTGAGTTATGAGCTGTTCGGCACTATAAAAATAAATCATAATCTTAGAGGTTTATTTTGTCTAGTGAAGGACGCAGCAGCTGTGTTTTGTGTGTGTATACTTCATTGGTGCTTAGTGAGCCATGATCCAAGACAACCACCTGAATATGAGCTCATGTGTTATCGTACAAAGCCTTATCTTAAGACTTTCTGTTAGCTAAACTCTACTCCACATATTAACATTGGTTCACATATGTGTGTGTGTGTGCATGGACATGTGTGTGTGTGTGTGTATGTGTGAATGGTGGCGGCGCTGTTTGTTTCCTCCAATGTGGGAGGACCCGGGACCTTCTGATCTTTCCCAGCCCACCCCTCCCTGTCTCCCTTCCTCCATCCCTTTCTCTCTGCTCTTTCATCGCCAAGGTTATTCACAGGTTGCTGCTGCCTGCCTGGTGTGTGTGTGTGTGTGTGGGTGTGTGTGTGCCGGTGTATTAGAGTGAGTTTTGCGATATCCTGTGCTGTTAAATTCTAATCCATATAATCTTCATAAAACCATTTTTCTGACTTGTTTATTGGGAAATATGTTACACAATGTGTGTGTGTGTGTGTGTGTGTGTGTGTGTGTGTGTGTCTGTTTAAGGGTGTGTGTGTGTGTGTGTCTTTAAGAAAGCAAAAAGTTAGGCAATATCAGGCGAAGTCTAGAAATGAAACAAAAACAATGATGTCATGGCGTGGCTAATCCAGTCAGATAGACGGCTCAACACAAGTGCACGATAATAATAACAAAAACATGATCTCACCCCTCTCCCTCACTCTTTCACTCTCTGTTAAGCTCGCTCTCCCCCTCTCTTCCTTGCGCTCACTTCTGTCCACTCTCCCCTTCCCACTTGTCTTCCCCCGCAACTCCCCAAATGCCTATGATTCACACTCATTCCAACCAAATCTGCCCCCAAAAACCCTCCCCTCTCTCTATAGTCGGGCCATAAACAGTAGCAGTTTTTTTTTTCGATGTGTCCCGACAATGAGGCTCTGTTTACTCCTCTGAGTGCTGGCAGACAAGGCTTTAACCCACATTACACCCAGCTCCACCGACCACAGCCAGAGTATTATACCAGAGGACGGGGAGGGAGGGGAGGTAGGAAGAGAGAGGAGAAGAGAGGAGAGGAGAAGAAAGGCCTGAAATAGTGGAGTGTCTCCCTCCTCTGTTCTTCTGCTCTACCCTTCTCCCTCCTGGGGCGATGACTAAGGCTGGCTGGAAGGGAGCGCACTGTCGGACTGACGGCATTATCTGTCACTGACTCTATTTTTTTTTCATCTCCCTCTCTCTTACACACACACATACACACACTCTTTCACTCTATCTCTCTTTCTCCTTCCATCTGCCCCGGGGCTACGTGAAATGAGACACCAAACAACAGCTTTCCTCTCCAAACTTTCCCAGCCTGCCTGCACGCTTTGATCTGACTGTCCGATGCCATCACAATCACCACGCACACTTCTGTGATTATGCGTGTGTGTATGTGTGTGTGTGTGAGCACGTATTTCATCACCCCGGCTTATTAATATCGCCATTGCTGAAATAGCTAAGAGTTCCACGCCGATAATGAGAGTGTGAGTTTGTTTAGGGCTTCATTAAAGGCTTGTGAAGCCTTCGTTAGCAGCCGCAGTGCCACGGGGAAGTCCGCTGTACTGTGTGTGTGACAGAGGAGGAGGCAGCAGAATGTCAAGGCCGGTGACTGCATCCACATCCCCCCACTGACTCCAAAAGTGGCAAATAATGTGATGGAGGCAGAGTGGGAGTGAGTGAGAGAGAAGTTTGTTTGATGTCTTTACTTTTGTCGAGGAAACAAAAGATGTGCATGTGGATGAGCTAATTAAGAGTAATTTTCTATTTAAGCAAAGAAACAATGTGTCTGACCCTTTAGAGGGAAAGCGTACAAGATACAAACATGCAGACAATTAGATAAAAACACCACCCAAATGAAGCAATGACTGGGTGACACATATTAACACAGGAACAAAGAGGAAGAAGAAACAGTTTTAGGGGGAGCCCAAAGAATTCTTCGAAAAACAGAGTATTTACACACATGTTGAGTCTATGTGTGTACCTGTGTGTGTGTATGTGTGTGTATGCATGAATGTGCCTCAGAGCAAATGTGATGTAACAGATTGCAACTGATGAATCAGTAAACCAGTGCGAATCACCAGTGATGTACGTGACTGACACTTCACATTTACCACAAACGGTAGCTTCACTTTGCTCTGCTTTATCTGAATCAGAGAGGGTCTTGTGTCTTTTTCCTGCTGCGAGGCATGGTTGAGCCTTTTATCAAAAAAAAAAATCAGCCATGTTTTTTACCAATTAGTGATAAATGTGGGAAAGTTTTGATGTGGTCTTAAACCTGATTTGTGGTCAGTGTGAGTCAAGTGTGTGACTACAAACGTTTGGGTTTGCAGCCAAGACGTCTGCACATTTGCACCTGAAATTGAAAGCAAAGCTGAAGTAAGAAGATTTTGCTGATCTTTATCTGTGTGGTGTTTTGAAAATAAAAAACTTGGACAAAAGTTTGAAGAGAAGTCACATTGTCCTTCTCCAAGGTAACTAGAGACACATCCAAGAGCCCTTGAAGCTGAAAATGGACACTTAAAAAGAATACTTCACCCATAAAATGGTATTATGTGTATAAAATTACTCACCCTGAGTTACACGGAATTCATTAAGCAAACTTTGTTTTTGTCTAATGCCTTAAAGGTGAACAAAGAATCCAAAAGCGGAGAAAGTTCTTTATGAATTCATGTAAAAGGGGGCCATACTCAACAACAGCAAAACTAAATCAGAACATCCATTTACAATCTCTCACACAACTCGTGCAGTATAATCCAAGTCTCATTTATCCAGTCGTATGCTCAGTACTTCCAAACACTGGCATTTTTACTGAAACCTTACAATTGAAAACTTTAGGTTACTTACGTAACCCAGTTCTCATTCATAGCATTCGTTTCGATGTCTCACTGTGGGATACGCCTCCCTCTGTATTCCTCAGAAGCATTTATCTCATTACGCCAATTCTGACTGGCTGGTGATTGCGACGTCAGCGTTAGGTGGATCCACCTATCATTAAATAGCCTGCGCTACCACGCAGCGTTATTCAAACACCTCTTCTCACTTCAGAGCATATCTCAACCTGTAGCATAGGCTAGCTAGCTTAACTGTCCACTTTTGGAGCCATAAGCTAACAGCTCCGACCTCTGGTCTTCACCATAGACTGGAGTATCAACAGCCTACCCGCCACGGTAAGGTTTTTATTAGTTAGCACACCAGCTAACGCTAGCGCTATCCAATCCCGGCCAGGCACGCTACTTGTCTGAAACTGTGTATGCAGAAGTGTTTTACATAGCAATGTTTTAGCAAAAATGCATGTGTTTGGTAAGTACTGAGCATATGACTGGATAGATGAGACTTGGTTTATACTGCACAAGTTGTGTGAAAGTAAGCGTGACTTCTTTTACTTATATTCACGAAGAATGTTCGCCTTTTTTGGATTCTTCGTTCATCATGGAGGGATGTGAGAAAAACACAATTTCAACATAACACATTAGTAATTGAGATACAAATGATAATTTTGTGGTTGAAGTATCGGAACCTCCACCGCTGCTGTCTTTTTCCATTTGCAGTATGAAGTATGCAGAAACTCAAAGCACTTTAGTTTTGAAGTAATTATCCCTATGAAGCACCAGTATATGTTTTCATTGTGTTGTGTATTATTTTATCTGTAACCCCAACTTCTGCATCATATGTCATATTTTTGTTTATTTCAACTTACTTGATGAACTGTCCCATGTCCTCACACAGTGCTTCACAGCCAGGCCACTTACACTCTCCATGGCCGTAGAGAGGATGGGAGCCGGCATGCTCCTCATGACTGTAAGGGGGAGAGACACATGAAAAGAGTTAGGTAGTAAAACAGATGTTATATATTTCATATGTTGTTATGTGCATAAAATATACAGCAAATAAAAGTGAAGTTTTTCCTCATAATACGAAGCAAAGCCTTAATATGCCACACTCTCCCTCGCACACACACATGCAAAACTAACTGTAGCAGCAGAAGCATCAATACAGCCATCTGAGTCTGGTTAGCAGTCATTAGTTTGTACAGTTCACGAAGCCAAGTGCAGAGAGAGGAGGATAGAGCAGAGTGGGGTCAGTTACAGAAGCCAGGCAAATAAGGGAATTGGTCCAGCAACCTCAGAGGCACATTCTTAAGTCCATGACCTGTCTTTCTGTCCTTGGCGCATGTCTTGTGTGTGTTAGTGTTGGTGTGTGTTCTTATGTTTCAGGAGTTGACACAGAGTCGGCACAGGACCAACCAGCCATGACTGATTGGCGGCGGCTGCCGTCATGTGCTGGTTGTTCTTTTGTGGTGAGCTTATGTGTGTGTGTGCATGTGTGCGTGTGTTTTTGTGCGCAGCGCATCTGTGCATATTTATGAGCTTTTGTGTATTTGTATGTGTGGCGATGAAAGACTAGGCCAGGTTTGGTTTGGGCCCAGGGTAAAATAACTGTGTCCGTGCACATGTGTGTGTGTGTGTATGTGTGTGTGTGTGTGTGGCAGGTCCAGTAGCAGATGTGGTTCAGACCTGGACCTTCGCCGGCGACTGCTGTCTCCACATATATTTACATGACTGTGTGTGTGTGTGTGTGTGTGTGTGCACGTGTGTGTGTGGGGACTGGGATGGGGATTCTCCCAAATCAACATCAGAAGGTTGTCTAACAAAAACCATTTGTCTCGCAGATGGAAACATGTCTCTCTCCCTCTCCCCTTGCCTCTTCGCCTCTTCCTGATCATATGTGCTGGCTGAGGTTGGAGCTTGTGTGCGTGTGTGTGTGTGTGTGTGTCTGCACGTGTGTGTGTGTGTGTGTGTGTGTGTGTGCTGGCTGTGGTTGAGTCAACTCAGAAGCAGCTCAGACAGCAGACATGACAAACTGCTGGCAACCACATTCTCCTCCACATCAGCCATGCATTAGCTTAGCAGGCTAACACACTAGTAATGCTACCCTCTTCGACTCTATTGAAGCCAACTCTGTGGGGACACCAGCAGCACCCTGTAGCTGCAGTATGACAGTATGTGACATATTTGATCGACTAATAGAAGCTCCTTTTTTATTGATACTCCCACCAAGACCCCCTCCAGATTTAAGTCAGAGGTCAAGGTCAGCAATGCCCCTGGAGCAAACTGTGAGTCAGTGCTAAAGGACACTGCAGTCCACCCTCCAGTAATGTGTCTTTCCGTGATGTCCACTCATGTGCATGTATGTGTGAGTGTGTATGTGCTACTCACTGGCTGCTGGGGGGTTGGCCGCCTTTGGAGTAAAGGGGGACATGATCATCTCCGCTGTCTGCCTTGGTGAAGGAGGATATCCACTCAAACAGTCTGGCTCTTAAAGACGAAGACAAGCCCATGAGCAGCCAACAAAGCCATGGGACAACACAGCCCTCGCACTCTGTGTAGTGCGAGCACTCCTAGCACATGCATCCCCAGTATGTCAACAGGCTAACAAGGCAATCATCTCTATAGCAAACTCACATCTACAAATATAGATGACTCGAACAAATAGCTCCAGATTTCTACCAGATGGCCTGCATCCACCATCCTCTCCTCTCCTCCATACTATACTTGCATGTGGTTGACAGCATACCGGCAGAACATACTGAACCCAAAACACCTCCTATCAAATGAGCTGAGAGACGTTTACACCCTGGTGATGTGTGATATGCTGCATGTGCGTGTTTTGTGTTTACGTGCGTAGGTATGGAGGAACAGCTAAAAGCTAAAAGTTAAAAGTCCGAAAATGACATGGCAAGAGTGTGTGAGTTAGATAGACTGCAGGTCACACAGAGGACAGACGCACTATTATAGTGTGGATGTTTTAAAGGAGCTGTATGCAGCATTCAGAACATCAATATGGCAACAAACCACTGTTTGCTCTGTAAACATACAGAGGAGTGATGACGTCCTGAGGAGAAAATGAGTTCTTGCTCACTGTCTGTGTGCTGTAATCCGAGCTTCTCTGTTTATCATTGTGGTAGATGGTCTGGTCACACGTCAGTGTTGGTGCACATGAGTCCCTCTAAGTATATTCCACTGGCTAGCTCATTGCTGCCACTTTACACTGTACTCATGCCGTTACTGCTGACATTTGGATGGTGTCATCACTGAAGCATAGCACCCACCCTCTGGTTTCCCTCTGATTAACAATGTTAGCTCTGACAGCACTGTTGCCATTGTTAGCACTGTTTATTGAGTTAGCACCATTCACAGCTAGCCTCCATGTTGAGAACCATGTGCAGACTAGATTTTAAATCATAGACATGCTCTGAATGTCTCATACAGCTCCTTTAAGTATTTTTGACATAGTGAACATAACTGTACCTGTCTCTCTTTGGGGTGTGGCTCTGTCCGTTGGCCAGGCTGTGCAGTGGGATGTGAGCGCTGGCAGCTTTGGGGAAGGCTGAGGTAGAATTGGAGCTGTTGGTGCTCAAGTCCAGGCCCTCGGCCTGTTTCAGGGCCTCCTCACTGCTCGGCACCCCCGACACCTCCTTCCACAGCTGTTGGAGGTCCGACGGACACATTGCTGCAGAGAAGGAATGCACTGTTATCCTTGGCAGCCTAACTTCATTGATTAGTTTCACATGTTCAGTGTGAATATGATTATAGGATATTAAAGTTAAAGATATACTGTGCAGGATTTTCCTGAAAAACAAAGTATATGGTCATATAAAAGTAATCCCTCTCAATGAGCTCCCTTATGACCCACTAGAAGTGTGAGGCTGTGTATTAATCTCCAGAGACTCTGCCCTCTACCTGTGTTTTCTTATTTTCTTCTTGTTGTGTTGTTTTGCTGTATCCTGGGTGTTCCTGGGCCTGTAGCACCCAGCCAATAGCAGTGCACAGGTGAGGTCGAGACTTTCTAAAAAGGTAGTGACCAGACGCTGGACTGTGAGCAGCACACATCCACAAAGAAGCTAGGAAAATCGCAGACCCAGAGCCGAAAAAACGCAAATATAACAGGGCGAACACAAGGCAGAAGAAGCTTGTTCCAAATAAGAGTGAATCCGGGGTTGGCTTTCACTTTTTCTGGCGAGCACCGAAAAAGATGATGGGGATAAAGAGCGATGTAAAGGTAGCTTTTTTTTCCTGTTGGACAGGTAGGTGCCAGTAGTTAGCTTAATTAGCTTGCTAAAGTATCGGCTTTTCCATGCAACAAATGTAACGTGCCTACAACAGCAGCTTGTAGTGTACATACTACAGGTGTTGCGATACTACTATCGGCATTGCCTTGGATTCGGCCTACAATGCTGGATGCCAGCAATTTGCTAATTTCTATGGCATTCAATCTCTGTATGTCTATGTTCATGTTTTAGTTTAGCCAAAGGCATGCCATTGAACAACAGCAATCATTTCACACCCATACAGGGTTAGTAGCATGCAGGTTTCAGGTTCAGATATCAGGATCAGTATTCCAAAGAAAAAACTGGTATTGTAACATCTCTAGTATTTACAAGCAGTGTAGGGAGGAGGGACCCAGTTTGAATGTTGTGATTACAAACGGACCAACAAATCCTGCACAGTATACCCTTAATTTAAGCTCATTCAAACAAAGCTAAGAAGAAATGTGGTTAACAATAAATCAGATGAGACAAAATATCAACAGAATCAGCCACAAACAGACACACTGTAAATAAACTGATGTCACAGAGAGCTGCGGCAAACTATTCTAATCCACATAAAACACACATGCAACTATTACAGCCCCCTGGGAGTGGTTAAGAGAGGAAAATAGGCCAAACTAAAACAGAGCAAAAGTTAATTTCTGCATGTTTTTGTTATCTTTCCAGATATCCACTATTCCCCAACTCTTTCCTAATCTCTGCTGGCAATTGCTACTGTCCACCAGCACCACTGCTCCTGTCACGACCACTACTTGTCTGAGCAGGGTGGGTGCACACTTCGAGTTCTTTCTAGTCGCAGCTTTGTTATTTCTGCTCCAATTTCACAGTGAGAGAGACGCCTAAAATGCCACAGCCTACTCCGATGGATCTTACCATGCTCGTACGCACGCACGCAGCCCCACACACACATCTGCGCATACACATACACACATACACAGATCTCGCAGCAATCCAAATATTATGTCTGCTTTGTCTGCATTCTTCTGTGGTCCCGCCAAAACAAAAGTTCTCACTCTGGAGGAATGAGGCGGTGTGTGCACAGATTTCTGTACGTCTGTGTGTGTGTGTTGTCCAAGAAACCCGACCAATCTGTGGACACGCCCAGAGAGTGAAAGTGTAAAGTAGTTAAGGGATTGTTAGATAAACTGCTTCCTCTTCTGACTTATCAGACTGGCTCATACCACATCCATTAAATTATAAATAAGAAAGACAAATGCAACTTTAGAGAATGAAACAGATTTTGGATTTTGGTGAAAGTCAACAGTTTACTGATGTGTGAAAAGCAAGCAAAGTCAAACTGTAAACAGGCTGAGAGCAGAACAGATTTCTAAACAAAAAAAAAAAAAATCTTGATTTTGTGTGCTTTCAGGTGAAAAAAGCACAAATTCCCCCAGCTAGTGTTGACACATACAAATTATTTGCTTGGATAAGAGTGCTTTTGTTGCTAACTGTTGTAACGTACACACCCACATCTGGCTGCAAGGGTCGTATTTCTTTCACATTGATGTCTGTAGACGTGAGACACGCTAGGAAGTAGCTTTAAGTTACTCAGAAGGTGGGGTCTAACAGGATAAAGTCAATACTAATGGAGTTTTTTTTGTATGAGAGTGAAAAAACTGCTGAAACACTCTCACAATGCTTCGTCTGTGCTTAGAAAAACTGTTTGATTCTCATTCAGATACGTTTAATCCTCTCTCTGTTTTATTTTTTGCCACAAACTTTGCAGTGATGAGATATCTACGAGGTGCCACCATTACTGCAGTAAGAGAAATAAACAAAAACCACAGCAGCAGGACCCCCCCTCATGTCACCCCCCCACAACCACCACCACCAACTACCCACCGGACACAACAGCCCTTTGAGGCGGGGCAGTAGTGTGTGTACTTGTGTGTGTAAGTGCGAGTGTTTATGCATGTGTGTTTGTGTGTTTGTGTGGCATGGTTGGTCAGAGGAATGCTCTGGCTCACGCCTGGCTGAGCCGTCACAATGGACCGGCTCTTTCACACTGCAGGGAAATTCCACTCTGATACGGAGGGAGAGAGGGAGAAAGAGAAGGAGATGCCAAAGCCGAATCTTTGCAGCTATCTAAAAAGTAACACTCCTATCCTTTTCGTTTGTTTTCAATTTGAATATAACTATTTTTTTTCACCCTCTCTGTAAACTGGATATTCCACGTACCCTTCATTAGACACACACACACACCCTGCCCATGAGCACTTAAACAAACACATGCACTAATCACACTGAAGTTTCTCCTCAATTCTTGGGTGCTGTGTGAAGCTTATTTGAAATGAACTTTTTAGAAATTAAATTGATTAGACTGAGTAGTTTTTGTCAGATTCAGATTACAGAGTGACTATGAGAGTGTGTGTGCATGAGAGAAGGAGAGAGATCAGACACACGGAGGGAAGGAAACTGCTCTGTTTGGTCAACTCAGTCAGCGCTTTAGCAATGTTACGGCCACTTTAGAGCCCCTAAAGCATTTTCTTTGCGTGAGGCAGTGTGTGTGTGCGTATTAGACATTACTGTGTACAGACAAAAGTGGACGAAGACACACACATATACACACACACTCGCGAAGGGCGGGCCAGTCAACAGTCAACATTTATCGCTCTAAAGCCACACTGACAAAATGAAGGACTGTGGGAGACATTACATATAGGAACAAAAAAAATCCAGTGGGCACAGCAATAGCAAAACGATGATGTTCTTGTGTCTGGCTAATCTCAAGTACGCACATACACACACTCCCGCAAGCACATGCACACACCTCCAAGCAGGGGGCTTAGTGGCATATTTTACCTATTATCCAAATGAGTACCTTCCACAAACCCACCAATCAGGTTCCCTTTTATCTTTTATAGGCTGATTAACTTAACAGGCATCACATACGGCACTGGGTACAGGCCTGTATGTGTGTGTGCTCAGTTACAACCATGTCTGTATGCATGTTTGTTAAGGATGTGTCTGTGCCACTGAGTGTATATGGATGCATATGTGTGTGTGTGTGCACGTACCTTGCTGCAGAGACTGCATGGCAGCGGTGGGCTGCAGTGGGACCAGGCCTTGTCTCTGGAGGTTGAGGATGTGCTGCTGCTGAAGCTGCTGCATCTGGATCAGCTGCTGCTGGAAGGCCAACTGCTTACTGCCTAACTGCTGAGGGACAGAGGACAGAAGAACAGATGGTAGAAAAGTTATCAAGTTACATATTACTTCCATGTACATCCAGTTATTTTCCCACTTTAAAAAAAACATTAACACCAATAACTAATATTTATAAAATGCAGCACCCAGTAGTCCTTGTTCAAAATGCTGAATTATGTACTAATAAGCTCTCTTCTCATTTTGGCACACACACAAAAAAGTCAAACCATGTAAACTAAACTAATGCAGGTCTGCAGAAATCTTCTTGCAACCACAACAAACTCTGAAAACAATCAAATTTTTTAAAAGTGTCACATTTTTCAATGGTAGTTTTGAACAAAATGCCAGATTTTAACAACAGTTGCCCTTTGTTTTTTTTAATTTTATATCTACAAAGAAGCCCCTCCCTGTTCTGTTATTATGATCTGAATGATCTGCTTGTCCCATTACATCATTCAGTCTCAACAAAGTCAAGTAAAAAGTCATTAACACCATAAAAATAAATAGTCCTGTATTAAAATGAAGAAAATCCTGATGCTGTGAGGACCCTGAGGATGAAGAGAAGGAGGTAAGGGAACGAGGGAGCTTGAAGGGAGAGTGGGAGAGACTACGCGGCGCGTGGCGATAGTGTCGGTGTGTGTTGCGGTGATAAATGTCCCCTTTCCTGCCCTCCCAGTCTGAGGCAAACCTGGCCTGCGCTGCGCTTTTTGAAGTCCCCTCCGACCAACCCCCCAGAGAGATGGACTTTATCTCTCACAGATAACTAGTGGAGAGGAAAAATAAATAAATACAACTTGAGGAACTGCTCATTGTGTGTGTGTGCGTGTGTGTGTGTGTGTGAGAGAGAGAGAGAGCGAGAGAGAGCGAGAGAGAGAGTGGCAGGCTGGAACTCTTTGAACAGAGAGGATCTCACAGGAAGGGCAGATAGGTCACTTCCTTTCAGACTTGGTGCCTGGGGAGAAGAAGTGTGATGGCAGTGTGTTTGTGTGTGGGAGGGGGCGTAGAGGAGAAAGCACAACAACTATTCTTTACAGAAGAGAAACAGAGGAGGGGAAAACACCTTTTTACCATACAATGCTTCAATAGAGTTTAGTTTCAGGTTGCAAGTTCTCAGCCTAATTGAAAATATTTTAGTATTTGTACTATATTATTTGCTTTTTTTGACTACTGTTTTGTAATGAAAGTACAGTAGGACAGGTACAACATTCAAATATATTTACATATCACCAGATTTTACTTAAACTGTAACTATAACTCACAAATCAAGAAGTTGTGAGACAAAAATAAAGACAAAGGCAAAACAAAACAACAAAATAAGACAAAAAAAGAGAAGACCGTTGTTATATAGTGGAGATGTACAAGTTATAGATCCACCAGCGTACTAAAAGGCCCAGTGTGTAGGATTTAGGGGGATATATTAGCATAAATGGAATATAATATAATAAGTATGTCTTCTTTAGTGTATAATCACCTGAAAATAAGAGTTGTTGTGTTTTTGTTACCTTTAAATGAGCCATTTATATCTACATAGGGAGCGGGTCATGTCCACAGAGATCTCCATGTTGTACCTCCATGTTTCTACAGTAGCCCATAACGGACAAACCAAACACTGGCTCTAGATATGGCCAATCGCAGCCCCTCCTCGATGAGAAGCTGCTTTATTTCGTGTTTTTGCTGGTTTAAATCACCTGGTCCATCTGTTTCGGAAAAGAAGAGACCTCTGCTGATAACTGTTCCTTTAACAGATCAAGTTAGGAAAGACAGATAATACGTACATGAAGTGAACAGGCCAGAGATTTGATTCTTAGGCCCAATCCCATTTCTACCCCTTATATCTTCCACTTATTTGAGTTTGAGTATTGAGTGCCCTCGTTTGTGAGATAACCCTTGATGAGGGAAGTGAGAAGTATTAGGGTAGAGATCTTTCCCTGAGAAATGAAACCACTTCCACTACCTCAACTCTGTTTTGGGACACCACTAGCCTAAACGTGAACATGCACAACCAAGTGCAAGTGGGTATTTCTAGGAGAAGTGTGGGTATTGGGACAGTCCCTTAGTCTGGAGGACTGGTTGACAGGTCATTGAAATACTCAATAAATGGTCTCTAGAGCTTAAAGAAAACAACAGTGGCTCTCCTTTGAGAGAATTTTACTTTTTCTCCAAGCTTAAAAAAAACATCACATCATTCAACCAGATTGAAAAGGAGGACAGTAATAGCCTTCTTTTTGCTAAGAGTGTTGTAAAGGCAATTATATCTCCATCGGGCTCACAAAGGCAATTCTGAGGATTCTAAGAAACGAGGAGTAACGCGACAATAAGCGAGAAGTGGTAAAAATTCTAGGAATCTCTACTCAGGGTGCCCAGAATTTTTAGGCCTTTGTACACAGAGAACCCATGACACTGTTGCGACAGTGACCCTCCATTACGTCGGCTTTGCTTTTTTCACACAGACCCAAAAAAATTGTTAAAATTTGTGTACTCCTTTAGTAACAAAGTGCAAACTGAGTACTACACAAGGGGTGTTGAGAACACAGACAAAATCTGCCATGCTTACATAATTAAGACCTTTGAAGGAAACTGCCAAATTCCCATTTGTTGCAATAAACGGTCTATCATGATCAGAATGTCCTGACTGAACAGTTTCCTACTGTCTTCCTCTTTTTTTCTCTCACTCCCCTCCCCGCCCCTCCTTTTCTACTTGTCTGTCTGTCTTCTTCCACTCCCCCCTCTGTCTCTCATTCCCTCCTGAGATATGGCTATGGTTCTTTAAAACACACATTGTGTGTGTGTGTGTGTGTGTGTGTGTGTGTGTGTGTGTGTGTGTGTGTGTGTGTGTGCCTGTGTTCTGTTTACATTAGCTGTGGCTGAGTGGCCAAAGCTAGCGCAGTAACAGGCTGTCAATGTGATTTATGAGCACATCACACACTGTCTGAGCCTGCCAGTCACACAGACGCACACACACATACATATAGAAGGACACTCACAGACAGACACGTGCGCACACACACACACTGTAGATGGACACTCGCAGACAGACACACACAAGCACACATCTCTAGCGATGGTCAGAGCCACTTCATTAAGCTGACTCCTGACCAGTCCCAAATGCACCGGCGACACACACAAACATCGACTCTACACACACATACATACTCCTTCTTTCAATGCATCACTTCCACGCAGACAAGAAAGTGAAGAGGAATTGCAAGAAAAGGAGGGAAAAGGGCAAAAAGTCACAGCCACTTGAGCACAAACACTCCAAAAGGCAAAGGAGAGATTTTCTGTTTCATTCTCCCTCTGTCCTCCACTGTCGTCTTTGTCTCTACCTCTTCTCTTGTTTTGTGGGTGTGTTAAAGGCATGCTGGAATCTCAAATCATCTTCCACACTTGATCCGCCTAACACTACTCTGACCAGGAGCAGTTTATAGGGTAAGAGTTCTTGGCTGATTGCGGGTTATCCGGCACAATGGGACAGGTTTACAAAAACTCCAAGCTGTACGTAAATGAAACACACCTCCTGCCTCAATATCTGACAGCACCTGCTCGACCAGGAGAGAAACAGGAGTCCACTAAAAAGGCATTTTTGTTTTGATTGACGTCTCGCGGCAACTGAAAAACACTGACTGCTGGAAATGGCCTTAGTCATATCAGCTGTATGCAGCTCTGCGGGGAGGCATATTCCCTCAAGTGTATGTGTTTGTGCGGTGAACCGTCACACATCAAAGCCTCTCCCTCTCTGCGTGTATGTGTAGCCGTGTGACCGGTGTTTGCACTTGTCTAGTTGTTACAGGACAACAAACCTGAAAACTGGGACAGCGGCAGAGAGGAGGGAGAAAAAGGGAAAGCGATTCAGACACCCTCTCAACATGCGAGTCAACCACAACTGGTTTGCTTTGGTCACGGTCGAGTTGGTTGACCGCTGTCGGCGAGGAGTTTGTGGGGCGGGGTGTGTGGGTGTGTGTGGGGGGAGGTCTGCCTACTGGGAGAGGAGGGGATGAGGAAGAGGAGGAGAAATCTAGGATGTGTCTCCTCATGCGTTTATCAGAAAAGTCTCATGAGGCCCCTCTCCCTAAGTCTGTCTCCTGCGCGTTCCTCTGTGTGCTCTGTAATTCTGGTGAATGAGCATTCATGGAACTGTTATACACATGCACAAACAGGCACACACACACTCCCGTACACGCAGGTTATGACAGTAATCTTGTCTCATCGATTGAGATCCTCTTTTTTTGATCCTAGTTGATCCTCTGATAGCCTACTGCACCACAGCTGTGGTTAAACCTGGTACAGGGTGTGTGTGTTAATGCATATTTGTGTGTGTGTGAGGGAGAAAAGAGAGCAAGGGAAGCTCCTAATGTTGGCGGGGTTAATTGACAATTAAAAGAGTGGCAGACCCCTCCTACAGAGAGATTTCACCTCGGGCTTAGAGCTGAAGGCATGCAAATGAATACTTTGGCAGGGCAGCGTATGGCTTAGCGCAGCGCTCCTTCACTGGCTCGACATGGCACGCCAGTAGAAGAAATGAAAATCCATATTTACTAATCCCTGTATTGAGACAAGCTTGTACACACAACAATAAACCAGAGAAAAGGAGGATGAGAGGAGAGAAGGGAAAATAGAGCTAACATATTGTATATATAAATCCTTTACATTAAATCCTCCATGTGATTTTTTCCCTTCTGCTGACTCCCATGTCAACCGCTTTTACTGCGTTTAAGGGTACTCGTGTACTTCAGAGTGTACTTGAGCTGAGTGAGTGTGTACTTGGTGAAGTTCACCTCTTTTGCCGCCTGCTTCCCGGCCTGCTGCTGCTGCTGTTGCTGCTGCTGTTGCTGCTGCTGCTGCTGCTGCTGCTGCTGAGTCAGAAGCTGGAGATGCAACTGCTCCTGCTGCTTCTTGTAGTACTCCTGTAACTAGAGACAGGCACGGAAAGGGGGAGGCAAGGAGGGGGAGAGAGGTGGGGGAGAGGAGATGGAGAAATATGAGGCGAGTGAGTCACAACACACTTTGTATCAACCTCAACAATGCCGCAGTCGTCCAACAGAGAGATGCCCCGACTATAGTCAGACACCGTAACTTGAATGGGAGTCTGAAGGAATGCAGTTGCTTTCTACTTCTCTCGGTGAAGGCTGCGGCTTATTGTTGTGGCGGTGTGTGCGGTTTATTGAGAAACCACACACAACAAGCAAACGCAGACCTGTCAAAGACGACCGCTGGAGAATATCATGGAGCTATTAGACTGTGTCAAGTTGTGTTGTAAGGTGATTGTGTGTGTCAAAGCTACTGTATATATATAATGCTGAAACCTCCTTGGATTATTCACATAGAGTCCATATGCTGTATATGTAATGGATATGATATGACAGAAATACACCTGCACGCACGCACAGCATCGCGGCATTGCAAAGGAGAAGCTAACATAATTGGAGAATATAGAAAAAGATAAATGTGAGGATTGGAAGATGAGTCCTAGTGCAGACACACACACACACACACACACACACACACACACACACACACACACACACACTCGCACAGTCTGCATGACTGAACAAGACCATTCTTAGCCTACAGGGAAAAATACATATGGATATTTTCTTCTGTGAAATACTTGAGGCTCTTACTGTATTTACTGTACTGCTGTCATAAAACACCTGCTAGGACTGTGCGTGCATGTGTGTGTGTGTGTGTGTGTGTGTGTGTGTGTGTGTGTGTGTGTGTGCATGAGAGTGACTAAAGTTTTCTACACTCCTATTTGTTCTTCACCTATAACATTTTCTTTCCTGCAAAGAACTAGGGTGCAAATACTAAATGGAATAAATTTAAAACTACAGCATTTTGCATTGCAGTCTAATTTATGGAAACACACACACACATTTATTAATGATTCACACATACTCATACAAACACGCACACAGAGTCTCCTCTGACTGGCCACAGCTTGTCTGTTTGTTTGACTTACTAATCACTAATTTACTCAGGAAGCTCCATTAAGATTCTAATCTTGCTGAGAGGAGAGCAAGACGGACAGGGAGAAAAAAACCTCACACTGACCACAGTGTGTGTTTGTGTGTGTGCGGGGGGGGGGCCTATCCTCTTGAGAACAGCCTGTACATGTGTCCGTCTGCAGTTTGTCTTTGTTTCATGGTGCGTCAAATGTTCAAAGAGGCTTTTCAGCAGAGAATGACTTCACAGCGCAGCAGTTGTTTCGGTCTCTCATCCGTCTGACCCTACAGTGAGCGCACTACACACCACTGCCCATCCTCACCACACACACACACACACACCCTGTGTAACGTGATTGTCCTGCTCTTTCTGTGTTTTACATTTCCACTTTCAATCTTATCCCAGCCATTGCTTCAATTTCGCATAATTTACTGTGCTTTTGTAGGATGAAGTTCCCTCATCTCTTGTCCTTAATTTATTTTAAACGCAGGACTCATTCGTTCCTGCTGCTCCTTCTTTTCCATCTGTCTCTCCTCTCTTTTATCGCTCCTTAGGCCGAGTTAATCTCTCTTTTCCGCGTCACTAGCCCCGATCGCCTCCTCATCACACAGACAAATGCGTATGCAAGCACACACACGTTGTCCACACACACACACACACACACACTTGGCTGGAGAGTGGTGAGTTGAGGGAATAATTAAGTGATAATTAAGGTCTTTTTAATGATTTGATTCAGTGGCTCTGTGCATTAAGAGTATGTGTAAGTGAGGCACTCACCTCTCCAGCCTATTACCATGACCTTGACTTTAGTGAACACACTCAGAAAGAAAGGCAGAGCAGCTGTAGCATAAGTAAAGGTTAGAGGAAACTTAAAGGTTAAAACACACACACGCAGACACACATGCAAGTGCACAAATGAATGCCCGCACAAACACACAACTGCAGCAGTGGGCCGTAAACCATACTTACACACTCTTACACAATGCTGTATTGCCATGGGGATATGAAATTTAATGCTTCAGTGAGTGATATGTTGGTTGATTGTTTCGTGTGTGCGCGTATGTGTGTGTGTGTGTGTGTGTGTGTGTATGTGTAAAAGTGCCTGATTTGCAGATATACACTAAGAGCAAGTCCATACTGTGGTTAATTAAGTGGGAGAGCAATGTTAAACTCAGTGGTTTTAATAGTGGGAGTGTAATGTGTGTGTGTGTGTGTGTGTGTGTGCGCATTATCAACCCCCTTTTCCCCCCATCTCCTTTTTCCTCGTTAGAGAAAAAAAGAGCTGGTGAAGAGGTTCTTAGCCATCTGCATGTCTGTTTCCAGAAAGCCAGCGCATTTCACATTTCCATTATGATACATGTTGTCAGATCTTCCCACTGCAATTTATACTTGCCTAAAGCTACCGCTCCTTATTAAATCTACTGTCTGCTCCGGCCTTGCCTGGCGTTTGTATGTATGTATTTTCTCGGCATCCCCTACGCCGCAATTACTTCTCTGTCCCCGCTCTGTTAATAGTCCTCTTCATAGCATTTTACAAGGTTGCGTGTGTGTTTTGCGTGTGTAGGTAAGAGGTCACAGGTTGGCGCGGCTGAGTATCTGACAGTGTTTATTGGTTTGTGTCGACATGACAACCCCTCTCTCACCTGCCGGGCATCAACACACACTCCTGAATCACTATGATTCACTGGGTGATGCTGAAAAGTGCACGTGTGTGTATGTGTGTGTGCCTGCAGGAGCATGCACATTTTCTTGGCAACAATGCTAAAGAGGAGGTACTCGAAAATGACAATATGTGTATAAGTGGATATGTGGATGTGTATTTATCTTCAAAGATCTCCGAGCATTGAATAAGATACAATCACGCCCAGTATGTGTCAGCGCCTACTAAAACAGACACATCCAAACATGTCGACCTGGGACCGGGTCCAACAAGAGTGTGTGTGTGTGTGTGTGTCTTACCTGCTGTAGCATTAGAGCCTGCTGTTGCTGCAGTAGGGCCTGGAGCTGAGGGGGAGACAGGATCTGTTGCATCTGCTGAGGAGTGATCATCTGCGGACTCATCATAGCCATGGACACAGGCACCTGAAGGCAACACGGCACACAGAAATTTGTTAGATTATTCGCACTAGCTTGCAAAAGTAGGACAACTCAATCAATGGGTTAAGCTTTGTGTGAGAAGACCCAGCCGGCACAGCGAGCTTTAAGCATGACTGTGCCTGCAACTGAATGCTCAACTCAAAACAAACAGTGTGAATGGCGGCTGTACAGTATGCTGGTATGGACAGGTTAAGTTAGAGAGGTGTGTTGTCTCTTATTCTCCGTTGTCAGTCACCGCTAAGAAGAGCTGGCAACATCAGACAAAGATAAATAGACATCACAGCACACACGTATTGTTGACACTTTCCTCCACAAGGATGGAATTGTGGTTGGGAAAAAAAAACAACAAAAAGTGGCAATTTCTGCAGGCAGATAAAAGGACAGATATGCAATCTCCCTATAAAATATAAAATCTTATCTGCTTTTATAAACACATGATTAGGACTGCCTCCGATTCTCTTTTCCACACAGTCAAGCCTGGCTAAGAAGAAAGGAATAACAAAGTGGCTATCTGATGAGATGTCTATCTCATCAGATAGAGCTGCAGGCAGGCAAAGACGGAGAGAGAGAGAGACAGAGAGAGTGAGAGGACTGAGACAGGAATGTAGTGATTCTCGCAGATGTGTTGTGCAAGCACTCTTAATGCACATGCATTGTACACAGAGACGGGCAGAGATGCTAATCTGATGACAAACACCGCAAAACTGGAGACAAACTAAGCGCGTAAATCAGAAACTGAGACGCTCACACGCATGCATAAATGCAGACAATCCTGCTGACAAAGTGCTTTTGTATTTATTAACCGAATTAAGGTCTGAGAAAACAATAAAGGGGATAAAGAGACAGAGCAGTTCAGACACTGAGAGATATTTAGGGGGACTAAGATCGGGACCGAGAGCTGATATTAACTCTGTGTTTACAGGCTGAGTCTTCCCTCCCTGCCTACACATCAATAAACTATACAGCCTTTTCAATACAAATAATCCTGCCTGTTAAGTGGGGATGGCCGTTTTACTGAGGAATACAAGGATGAGTTATCACCTTTGAAATTGCCCATTTATCCATATTCACGCTGTGGTGAAATATCAATCTCTCTCATGGTCAAACTGTGTGTGGGCTTCTGTGTGTGTGTGGGCATGCACAAGTGCCAGTGTGTGCGGAGCCTCTCTCCAGAGCAGTCTATCTACTCACCACCTGAGGGGATGGCAGGTAGGGAGGGTGATGGGAGAGGGAATTGTGCAGTAGAGAGCACCAGAGGAGACGAGCTGTCACTGGTAAATTAAATCTGTAAAGAGCTGATTTGACTTTGTAAACAAGATTGGCCATAAATACTAACACCCTCTTTCCCACCTGGCCTCTGTCTCCCCCCCTCCCCTTCTCCTAACCTCCCTCCTTCCATCCCTCTCTGTTTCTTTTTCTCTCTGTGTGTCTGTCAGCGGCCCCACACTCTGCCTTTATCAAAGCAGGCTCCCCTAACTAAACACACTCCCTGCCACATGTATCGGCAACGGGATGGAGAATAGGGTATGTAGATGAATGGGTTTTAGCGCAGGAGTGTGTGCTTTTTGAGCTGAGGGAGAAGGAGAAGAAGAAAAGACAGAGTCAGAGCGGGGGTGAGGCAGGGGAAGGGTGGTGTCGTGGCAGTTGGTAAAGGAGCAGGAAGAGGGGATGGGATGGTGGGGTGCAGTGAGTAAGGTGGGGGCGGTGATGGGTGCCGCTTGGCGTCATGCCAGCTTGCCCCCGCCGCCGGGCCTTGTCAGTCTAAGCTGCCAAATGAAAAGCTGTAATTAATTGCTCTTGTGCATCCCATTCTTCCTCCTTGACAACTCATACATTCTATTTTATACACACCGCCATTGACATTTTCAAGTCACGGGCGTAATAATTACTGGAGTTATAGCACCTTTCTGTGTGTTGGCTGACGCTCTGACGCCAGAATCGAATGCGCGTCCATGTGTGCAAGCGCTGATATACTCTAACGCATGTGTGTCTGTGTGTACATGTGCACGTATGCATGTGTGTAAGGCTGAGTGTGTGTGTGTGTGTGTGTGTGTGTGTGTGGCAGGCTGAATGCTGAGTAGTTAAGGTTTGACGCCATTAATTGCCCCTATAATCTAATATCACAAAGCGTGGTGATTATGGGGCATGCGTTGCCACCGCCATACGACACCGCCAGCCTGAGAGCGCCGCCACAAAACAAAAGCCTCGCCATTAGCGATTTGACGGGCCAGGACAAAAGCGCTTCACAATGCGGAATTATATTTTCATTCGGCTTTGTCTCTCCCGGTGAATGATTTCTCCCCTTTCATTGGACTGTGAATAGGGAGAGTCTGAAAAGCCGGGCGATTTGAAGTCAGCCATTTATTAAATGCATTTAATTTTTTTTTTTCCCCCGCTGTCGTCCCATTTTTTTCATGTTGCATGTTAATTTAAAAGAGAGAGATGCGTGGTAGATTAGTGGGAGAGAGGTGAAGCTTGGGGGTGGGGGGGGGGGGGGGGGGGGGGGGGGGGGGGGGGGGGGGGGGGGGGGGTGAGCAGAGACAGGGGAGAAGGAAGGATACCATCCACACAGTGGAAGAAAGGAAAGAAGGAGGTGGAGAAGGGGAGGGAGATGGGGAGTAAGAGAGGAAATACTTGGTTGAAAAACAGAGAGATGTGTGAGAAGAGTCATACAGAATGAGAAAGCAACCCTACGGAGCAGGTTTGCTGAAGGAGAAAGTGCGGCCTAGAGCTTGAGATGATCGTGGACACACACACACACACAGATGCAGGTGAACAATCACACAATCCTGTACAGTAGGTGTTTGATAAATGTGAAAGTTGCACCACTAATAAAAGTAGGATTTTAAACCCGAAGATGTCACTCCTATCATCAACATGCAAGAATCAGTCATACGTACACACACACACACACACACACACACACACATGCACACACTGCTGAGGGGTTGGTGGCTGACAGAGGTCAACCCCTGTCTTGGAGAGGGGGAGCCGGGGGGGGGCAGGGAGGGAAGGAGGGAAGGAGAAGAGAAGCGAGACAGCCTTGTCGTTTACAGAGAGTGGAGGAGTAATTAGAGGGGTTGTTTGAAGAGGGAGTTTAACTGATTAACAAAGGAAGAGAGGGAGCGAGGGAGTGCCCTAAAGATGGGAAGGAGAAGGAGGAGAAAGGCATGGAGTCCCAAAGGAGCAGAGAGAGAGAAAGAAGGGGGATGTAACTTGCATTTCAATGAGCCTCCATCCCTCTCTCCTCTCCTCCCTTGATGACTTTTCATTCTAACGAGGAGGAAAGCCCCACTTTCCATTTCAGATGAAACCTCGGGAAGAGAGGAAGGAGGGCTATCTGATATTAAACCGGCACGCAGCCGGGGAAATAAGCTCGGTGCAGCTCAGCACCGTGTTTATATTGAGACAGGCTGGTTATATGGCTGAATCTTCTCTTATTTAGGTGCTAACTTTGGATTCAACACCTTTACCTGTCTTTTAATTGAGGTGTCTGACAACAAGAACACACCCACAAACAGAGCTTCCCTAAGCAGCACTTAATGTACACCAATTATAACATTTAAAATAAAGATGATAAAGCACACAAAGCAGCATCCTGTGTGCCCTCAACAGATAGATTTACTGCTTCAGTTATTCACCTCATGCTGGCTCAAAAATGTGCTGCCAGTATGTGGTGTGTAACTGTGTGTGTGTTTCTGTGTGTGTGTGAGACGGCCGTGAGTGGTGAGAAGAAAGGAGGCTATAATCAGAATCTAAACAGGCTCTCAGTCTAAATGATGCGGGCCCTGCCTCTGGGTCTATGGGGACACGCAGGAGAGAGGGATAATTGAAAAAATGACAGAGGAGAAAGCAGGAGGAGGAGAGAGAGGTTGACACAGACCTCCTCCCCTCCTCCTCCTCCTTCTCCTCCTCCTCCTCATCCCCCTCTCCTGGTAGGAGCAAACCCCAGCGCTGTTTATCCTTGTCACTGAGCATTACCACCTCAAACTGGATGGGATGCCTGCCTTTCTTCTTGTCTCACACACACACACACGCACGCACACACACGCACGCGTGCATCTTGGGTGATCGGATCACAAGTGGACACTGTTAAATAAAAGTGTAAACGCCAACCAACCAAGATTCATTGTGATCTTGCTGAGGTGTTCTGGGACACATTTGACCACATATCACTTTTAGTATGAACACTAATGTGTCCTGATGACGCAAGGACATTACCAGAAAATATGCCATCAACGCAGGACGTGGTGATAGCTTTGGTGATGGCACACCAACCAGAGGTGGAGCCAGATGGTGAAAACATTTAGGGCTCAGCCCAAACGGTCCAGGGGCATCCTCCCCTGGGAAGATTTTTTTTTTCTCATACGGCAGCTATATGCACTATTTTCGAGTCATACCAAATAATAGAATGCCAAACAATCTGTACATTATTTGGGAAAACATCATAGTTGCCAAGGAAAAAAAAACATCATGTGGAGCCTACATCCTATTTTGTTCCTCCAACCGTCTTCATCATTCTGCAACCATAATACAACAAATGTTGAAGTTGACTAAGTTTTACTCCTGCCACCTAAAGAGAGGCAAAATCTGTCTGATGATAATATTTTCAAGGTATGAATTTAGAGTAAAATATGATTACTAATCTCGGAGCGTATTTTTGTTCTACTATGCTGGAGTAGAGTTCACAGAACAAATGTTGATCTGACAATGGGCTACATTTGAATCTATCACATAATAATCTGCCTTAAATTTAAATGAAGGATCCCCAACAATGACAAGTAAATGTGGTCTTTAATACTCTGAACTGAATATTAGGCCAACAGAGGAACATTTACTCAATCATATTTGAGTTTTTAAGGAAGAAGCTTTGATTCAGGCCTTTTGAGAAAACATTCGAGGCCCCAGAAGCCTCCACCAGCTCCGCCCCTGCCACCAATGCCCTTTAACTTGACAACTTGGACAAAGTGTTGTGTGACCGTCTA